AGCGATGAAACGTTCTCGATTTCAGGCTCAAAATTAAATCTTTAGAGTCTAAAAAATGCTACTTCTTAACCCTTTGACTACTAAAACCACCTATAGGCGCTCAGTCAGTTGGTTGAGTACGTGCGTTAAACGCCTATGACCGTTCAATCTGTTGTGCTTGCGTAAAAATCGACCTTAGTCAAAGGGTTAATTTATAAATCAAAATCACTGTGTGAGAGTAAAACGTGAGTTGGTTGCAATTTTAAGCCATTGAAAAAAAGCAGAGGAACGTAATACGCGACAAAAAAATATTATTCTTTACACCTGGTAACAAAAAAACATCCCCGTGATAAGCAAATTGCTTTATAGAAATACATACAGTAAAAAATAACCAATTATTTGGTTTCATAGGTAGTATTCGTTTGTGAAATAGAGGTACGGTAAATATACTCAAAGTTTTAAACGATAGTCTATGACTTTCAATCTAAAGATACATAAGTATCATAACTTTTTTTCAGGCATTGGCCAATCAAGATACAGGAACTATTTCGTTCCGGCTTCTATTCATACCGTAACACGTAATACCGTTTTAGGTAGCGTGTTAATGGAAGATAATTAGATACTGACCGAAGAGGCTGATGGCCAATATAATACATACCTGATGTCCCTTTTATCGCGACCGATCCGAGTATATGGGTTGCTCTTATGAGAAATGTTGCAACCTCGAGAAACATTGTCATTGAGAAATTGTTTCCTTTCGAAATGAACCCAATGCTGTGCCCGGCGTTCCTCGCCATCGTAACAAAATAGCTGTGAACAGAATTAGGCAAACTTTATTCGTTACAGATAAACCATGCAAATAACGAATAACGATTATCCGAATAAAAACGCTGTATTTAAATAATAATCTAAATAAAGATTTATTCGAATTTTCAAATAACTTCTAACTCTCATCAAAACAAGCGCAACGCCATAAATCGTGGCAGAGATAATCATCGCACCTCTCGGATGAACGTACAAGATTGAACATGAAAGGACGAACTGCGAGAATCTGTGTTTCGTACAAGAATACTTGCGTACTTCAGCCAGCAGGTTGTAAAACTAGATCGCTTTTTAATCATTGTACCGCTCGAAATTCGCTCGTCATTGCGCGATCATCTGCACGGGACGTTAACGAACAACCGCAATCTTCGAAGCACTTAACCAATAAACGGTGCACCGTTTACACCTAAACGTAAATTAGCAATACGACGATCAGCTCTTAATTTGCGCGTATTCAGTCGCGATTAATTAACCGATCCAACCGGTATACCAGTGGTGCACAACCTCTTTCGTTATTGGACTAAATAAAATAAAACAGTCTTTCCTGGGGGGCCAAATTTCGGGTTAAGACGATATAAATTTAATTAAAAAGACACTTTGTTGCTAAATTTTTGGGCACGCCACTGCCACTGTGGTTGATAAAGCTTTTGACCGCAGCATACGGAACATGGAATTTCGTAATTCACGTCAGTATGTTGTGACGTAACACGACATACGAACTGAAGCTTGATTAATAATTTGTGTGTGCTGATCAGTCGCGCAACGTCCTTCGCGCATCTGCTTGATTGGCAACCAAGTTTTGCAACACGAATTTTAGTGAAGGAACTAACAAATTGAATAACGGTAGTCTTTTAGTTCATGTTTTTTATCCATATGGGATGAAAAACGGTTTTTCAATGATCCGACGAAGACTTCATTATTTCTAATAAACACTGAATATTCGAGTTTTTTTAATTTTATAATGGATAATACTTGCCAGTTTTGTATAAAACTAAAGGCTAAAAATTCTCATAAATGGGAATGTACAGAAAACTGGCGTCTCTGTATTGAACATTCCAATGAAATAATGGCCCATTTGTGGATCAGGGCAGTTTTTAGATCGACAGAGGAAATGTTTTTTCACGAACCTCGTGTTCGAGTTTACCCAGTTCCTTGAGACGCGATACAAATGTAGGATTAACAAACTGTGCTGTTGCCCTGATCGTTGAGCGACATCTTTCCTGCGACTTTTCGAAACGGTCCCTGCAATTCTGTCTAATAAAGTGAAAATTACAGGTTCTCAATTATTATTAGACATATATTACAGCGTACACACTGAACGAATCGGTAAATGTCTAGTGTGCATGGCGAAGAATATTCCGACCATAATTTGCAAGGTTGTCAGCCTGAAGCTAGAGGGGGTTACCGTAAGCGTGACGAAGGAACAGGTTGCCGTGGCCGGGTTAACGAGTACGAATCTTTCGAAAATATTATTTCTATTCCTGCTTACGGTCAAGGAGGCGTGAGTCAATTATTTCTCTGCGAATGCCGCAAAATATTCAACCGGTCTTGTCGCGAAGCAAATTAACCCTCTTGGCGGCAAGATTCGTCTTGGCGCGTGACATGTGCGGAAACTCGGCGGAAACTTGGCGCTTATAAACGCCCATATAGAGATGGACAAAATTCTTATTTAAATAAAAACTTCAAAAGTATGTATTTACATTAATTGACGCCACGATGACGTTGACATTGGCGTTACATCGTACCCAACTAATTTTCGTTCTCTTTTCTCGGAGAAGTTATCCTCCAACATTTTGAGATTTCCAATTCTCGAAGAAAATTGTTTGTAGTTCTGTACGAACTGTATAGTTCTAGGTGTGCATATGCTCTGTTTAAAAAATTAAAAAATCAGATTATATAGTTTCATTCAAACTGATGCGTAATATTCCGTGTGACCCACTTGCTACATAGTGAGGTCCGTACTCTAATACTTAGATTCTTGATGTTTTGCAAACGCATTAAGTCACCTTAGGACTTCTCCATACAATAACGCTTCTATATCACATGGTCACACCACATTTACCTACACTAACTGTTCACGATATTAATGTATCTCGAGACCAGCGGTATACCAACTTGTAGCGTTTTATCAACCCACTCTAAACTCTTACTTCCTCAATCTTTGATGGTTTTCTTGTCCGACTATTGCGATGTAGTTTATGGCGCCTGTCGTTCTTCATGACTATCTTCTCTTCTTCAACGTATCCAAAATTTGTCTCTTCTGGTATGCTACTGGTCTCGTAAGTTCGAACGTATAACTCATCTGTCCCAAGGTCCCGGCTAGCTGAATATGCGGCAAAGATGGATTCCTTCGTCTTTGCTGCATGGTTCAGGAGGTATTTCAAAGTCTCCTATTTACTTGTTTAATTCTCTCTTCTCCAATTTATCTTTGCATACAAATTCTCTAATCTGCAAATTCTAGTTAAATCTGTCTACATCCTCTCACCCACACTACTAAATATCGAGTCCTTTTTTCTTACGTGTTTGCCTATTATGTATTTCAACTCTATCCCTTAAAATCTTACATTTCAAATATGAAATAATTGTAATTAACGTGTGTTTTATAAAATGATAAATTAAATTAAAGTAACGGCTCTACCATTAACAGTGATCTTATCCTCCTGTTGCCAGTAGTGATATTGTTCCTCCCACAGAGTCTCGATTAAAAATTCTCAATTGAAAATTAAATTATTTTGATATATGATATTTCATTGACTTTAATCTTTGACCAAGTCTCTAAGACCACTAGATGACGATGCACTAAAATTGTTTCTCACGGTTTGGATAAGCTAGTCTGTGTAGTGTAGCTAATCAATCGCTATATCGAATCGTGTCTAAGCAAGATTTGCTAGATTAGCCCTACTGATGAATCCACAAATATCCCTAGATAAAGCATCGAATTTTCACAGTGGGGTACTGCATTCTTTGCTCATTTTTGTCACCGATTTATTTACAATTTCCATAAAGTGCGTTTATCCCTTGATTGTTAATAGACTACGAAATAAAAAGCTATTTGTGTTATTCAATATATGATTGAGAATAATTTCATGTTATTTCTCTATTTCTACTTATTTTCATGATTGGAAATAAATATGTACAGCTATACTATTATAGGATTAAAAATCGCTAAAAATGAGTCTCCTGACTTAAGACATCGTCATGAATTAAACTGAAGAAAAGAACTAAACAGCCTCCTTTAAGTCAAATTTTTATTTTAGTTTTATTAAAATATATTTGCTACGTTTATTTTAATAATTCTGTAATATTGATGCGATATTAATATATTTATCGATCAAAATCTCGTCTGGCTGGAATGTAAAATTCATATAAAACATCGTTTCGCGGAACCAAACGAAAAAACAAGACACTTGTCATTGAATTACGCTTTTTATAATGAAAGCTCGTGTAGTACCTTGTGTTCGTCTGGCGTTATTGGAGAAAATTTTGCCTATCTCTGATGAACATATTGTCACGTCATCAAAGATTCTCTGAATGCATATTGTTCAGCAACGTGAAGATTGAATAGGATCTTCTTATAATCTGCAACAAATATAACGAACACAGTACAATTCTGTAGGCGCTGGAACGAAAATGTTGTATCACTTAACTAATATTATATTTTTCATCGTTATTTAAGATATTAAATTTTTGAAATTTAGATTTAACATAGTTTGCCTTTCGAGCACAGATTTGAGACAAGAAAGGGTAGAAAATTAAAAATGTAAAAACAATAGTGTATATTTCATTAGCGTTCGCGTACCGCGATAAACGTTTCCAAAGATAATATGTAAAATGCTCCAGCCTTCAGTTGCATCGACTGTCTTGTAAACATAGTGGCTAACGAAAACAATAACATGATTTCTGGCAAATTCTCGTGATGCCAGTCTGAGAGCCATTGACTTCTATCCAGCACGGAACTCTGAACGATGAATTACGAGTTAGAATCCGTCGTTTTTTGGAAAAACAATCGTCGAGTCGTTACTTAATGCCTTACCGAAAAGCTCAGCTCATTTCCTATCCAGCAGATGTACAAGAGCTGAGATAAAGCGGCACTTAGGTATATCCCAAACTTTATAATGTCTGAGTTCTGCCCTCCGACCTGTTCCGAACGATACGAATCGATCAGGAACTGACCAGCGTACTCGACCATTATGTCTTACCACGACAGCTTGGAATCCGGTCAGGCAAATAATCGAGGTGCTCGAAAGCATCTGAACGAACATGCTCGAGCTGTAGGTCTTGTTGTAATCGTTGGTCATAGTCACCAATCGCTGATGGAACCGAAGGCACGTCTTGTATTTACGTACGAAATCATCGTCCGCTTCCTTTTTAGCATACCCGACGTCATCATAATTACGTTCGTTGCTAACTATGTCGGTCTGCGACGAAAAATGCATGTATTCCCAATATTGTGACGTATAAAATGTTTAAAATGTGCGAAATTGTAAAAATTATGACGTTTCAGATTAAGCAGACTGTCTTCGCCAGTTACGTCGCTCACCGTTCGTCTTTTGCAGTTCTCGAAATTCACGTTCAAAATGTCGAATTGCATAATGATTAAACTACATACTAAACTGGTCATAACATCCATTGCAACTATCGCCAACAAACCAACAGAAATGGTAACTGTATCTACTGCGATACCAATTTCGCGCCAGGGTGATATTGTTGTGTTGACGGGATATTTCGCTCTGATTGGTAAACCAGTTTCCATCGGTGAGAAAAATAAAAGAGCGATTGCCAAAAAAAATCCTAACACGGAGAACCCTTGGAAAATCACATTGTTACGTATGTAATACTTTTTGGCAATGCCTCTGATGTGTTTAACGTCTAAAAACAAGATAGTATATTAAATTGAATTAAAAGAAAAGAAACGATTAGTCGACGAAATCCGAAAAAACTACACGTAAAATCCAGATTTGAGGCAGTTAAAAGTTATATTTTAGATAGATTTGCTCTACTCACTAGAAAATTCGCTGATATCGTCGGCACATTTTAACACATTCGAAGTCAATCCCGCTATTTTTTCTTGGTAGATTTGATAATTCATAATTTTGAAAATCACAACAACAATTCCTGCAAAAACGCAACCATCGTCGGTAGCGATCGACATATTGTCTATGTTCAAGCAGATGTCTGCGAGGAGAGTGATCGTGAAGACGTACATCGTCAACAGCATCAACATTTTGTAACCGAAATACGAGAATCGCAGAAACAGTGAACATTTTGGATCAATTTTCCAGAGACCACTGTACCTGTACGACACAAATAGGCAACATTTAATTCGAATATTTAATAATCACCAAAATGAAATAAAACAAGATTTTTAAGAATAAAAGCGTTAGTGGAAATTTGTATTTGGAAAAAAATTTTGATCATTTCTGCAATACGAACGAAAGGAAAACGATTTTTATTTACTATTCTAATGTTAGTTAACAAATTTACACCGATCACACATTATTCAATTACTTATAGCTGCACGACTCTCACTTTAAGTAATTAATCTGATAACTTATAAGTTTTCGAAACGGGTTTATGCACTCGTGGCCTGACACTGAAGCCATTGGTAACGCGTCTTCCTAGGAGTCAAAGAATAAAACGACCTTTGTCGAAAGTACGCTGTCTCCTGGTATCGTGTGAGTGCGATTCGCGTCATAGTGTGTACTTTAACACAATCTTGTCACGTTATCAGGGGTTATTTTCATTCAGTCCGCGACGGTGCCTATCCAGAAAATTACGGATAAACGGATATGATGGCACGATCGTCTTTCGAAATTATAGACTTAGCCATGTTGCACGTGTTTGGTCCCTTGGTCACTTCCGCGAATGTCGATAAAAGTGACGATAATTGCATACCAATAGACGACGAAGGTAGGGCTTATTACACATTTATGTGAAGAATAGGCACTGTCTAAAGGAACACGTACCAAAGCGATCGTTTCGAGTTGTAAGTGAAACAGCTGCTTCCTAGTAGCAAATGACTACCCGTTACATTGACGTGTAGAAAATGCAACGTTTGAGTGATTTATGGCATTGCCACTGTTTGTATTTCCGAAACGGATGATTGGTCATTCTATTTGCTGCTATCGATTTGAATGATACCACAGACGAGGTATACGAGTAGACCTTTCACCTTATGGACTTTCGTGGCCCAATCTGACTGCCATACCGACCTGAAAATTCAGAGGTGATTTTAGCATCCTCTTCACATGGATGGCGATCAGTTGAGAAACTATTCACTGAATTAGTATTGATAGGCAAACAGTTGTAGTGTTGCATAAATACATGTGAGTTGACTATGGAAGAGATTAAAATTCATTTCTGAATCTGTCGGTAACGTTGCGAATGACACGAAAATGGTAATGGGGTTTCGAGACTCCATAAAAATAAGCCGCAAAAATACATTGGATGAAGGATCTACTTCTATACCACATCTGTGACAATACTCTAGAATCTTTGATGAATCAATGAGAATCAAAACTAACCTAGTGAAGAAGCTCTATATTTATGATGACCTATGCAAGGCGGATCGCAGCCAATTCGCTAATATTATTTAGTTTTTAATTAATAATTGCATTACCCAGCTAAAAGTGATACGATTATTAATTAAACGCTAAATAATATTACCCAGGTCTCACCACGTGGAGGTTGCTGCGAATGGAGACCCGCCCTAACCGATGCCCAACCACCCTCCATTAGTGAAGATCTTTTGTGACCAGCGATCGTTGGTCGAAAAACAATAAACGAAAGTGTAACCAACGAAGGAAATGACCAACGAAAGAGTTTTTTTGAGAAAGAAATTACCTCTAAATTCTCATCAGCAAAACAGAGAAATAGACCAAAATATTGCCTGCCTGATATAATGATTAATATAGAGAACCAAACTCCTGCCTAACTATAAATCAAAATTCATTTACATCCTACTTATCTAATCATTTAACAAAATACATAGAAAATATATTCTTCCTTGTTGATCCTTCGACGAAGATTTCCTGAAGCATACTGTTACATTCTACCTAACTATAAATCTAAATTATTAAAACATAAACTAAGCAATCTGAAACAAAATACATGAAATACATTCTTCTTTCTTCTATCTCCTATTTATCTCACGACGATTTCCTGAAATACAAACAAAGCAATATCAAACAAAATTGTAACAATTCTTAATTGTTACTTCTATAAACCTAAAACTTCCATAAGTATATGCTCTGTAACAGAAACTTGTTTAATAGATTAGTAAGAGAACAAACAAAAATTTGACACCTGCAAGAAGCATATGCCCAACACTGAATCTGTAAAACTACAAATACTACAACTACAGGCAAGTGCAGTGAGAAAGTAAAAATAGTACATAATATACGAGGTTACTTTGACTCTAAAATGTATTCGTCGCGAAATATCTTCTTGCACGTCAATCTAATGATATATTTTAATAAGTAAAGAAAGACTGGGTATCTTCGATATCGATGACCTCGCCGGAGGTCATTCTCTTTTCCGTATAAAGAGGAGAATATATGCACTCGGTGAGGCCCCACTTAAGCTGAACCAAGCTGCACCGGGGTTGAAGTGGTTAGAGCTATCACACCTACTACACAGGTGTCTCATGTTTCATTCTATCATACAGAGGTGATCGAGCAAAACTCTCCGGTCCTTTCAGTCGAGACATAATCTCGGAAAGCAAGAACCAGAGAACAACCGAACGAGAGAAAGTTATACTACTCATATATGTATGTATATGTATTCATTATATATTCATTTTAAAATGAGTGTCAAATTAAAAATAATTGAATCTACTATGACATTTGTCATCTTAAAAATCGCGGTGTGCAAGAAGATTATAATTTTAAGTAAAAGGTACTAACTACACTTGCCAAAGAAAGCACGTATACAACCAGTCGTTTTACCCCCTTGCCATACGATTTAATTTCCAACTATGCGTGCCAAAAGCAACACCAAGGTTTGGCCCGGCAGACTTATCACATCTCTGAGACATCTTATTCATATTTGGCCCGGTAGACTTATCACGTCTCTGAGACGTCAAACACTTAAAAATGATCTATCACCTAGCTAAAGGGAATTGGACAGAGTATATTAGCAAAATGTTACAAGAATTTAAGCTGAAACGTAGAAATAAAAATCTTATATTAATCAGTGTCATCGAAACAAATATGGTATATGCATCTACACCATGTTATACATATCAGAACGAACATTCGTAATTGTATTGAAAGAAACTTGGATCGAGACACCAAGTTGAATCAACGCCAAACAATCAAACGAAATGGAAGAATCACATAAATTCGAAAAACAATGTAAAAGTAGAAACAGAGAAAATGAACATTCATAATAACCAAATAAAATCAGATAGATAAATAAAGTTGAATTCACATCAAACAAACAAATAAAAATAATAAAATATAAATAAGTGGAGTGGACTTACTACTTGTTGTCAGTACATAGGGTAGTTACCACTGGGCCAGCTGTAAAGTAAGAAAATATTCATATTATAGCAACATCAGTTAGACAAACCAGGCAAAATCAGTTCATTGAAGCAAAATTAGCATCAAACGATAGAATAGAAGAGGGGAGAGAATTTTTAAACAGTTCTTACCGTTGATCATCACCGTCCGGCACTGGTCAGCAGTGGTCAGTAGTGGTAGGAGCACTAGTCAGAACTGGTCAGTCTTGGTCAGTACTGATCAGTACTGGTCAGCCATGGTCAGCGCTGGCCAGTGATGATCAGCAGCGGCTCCGGTACTCTTCTGGCTATTTGTACACTCCCGAATTCGCAACGAGACTGAAGAATTCTTCGCATTGACCCTGCTTATATGTCTAAGATGATGAAAGGGTAGGGAGACCAGTCAGAGCCAAAATTAAAGTTAACATTTAAGACTGTCTTGTCCATAAAGAAACTATTTCGATTGGTCCCACCTCTTGACCATTTCTGGATCCTCACTGGACCGCTGACCTTGATGTCAACCTCACTGTTGACCACCAGTGACCATAAGCTAGTCATTGTTGATCATCAACCCATTAAAACCATTACGAAGAGGATCTTTCTTACGAGGACCCCCTTACAATTTGATGCATGATCTTTTTAACATTTTGTTCCACTTTCGAAGAGTGTATCTCGTTAATTTTTGTCTTTTTGTACGTCAGTTCGAACAATTGCCATACCGGGCGAAAAATTCGGAGGTGATTTTAGCGTCCTCTTGTCATGGATGGCGATCAGTTGAGAAACTATTCACTAAATTAGTATTGATAGGCAAAGAGCTGTAGTTTTGCGTAAATCCATGTGAGTTGACTATGGAAGGGATTAAAATTAATTTCTGAATCTGTCGGTAACGTTGCGAGTGACACAAAAATGCTAATGGATCCCGGGGCCCCAGAGAAACGGGCCGAAAAAATACATTAGGTGAAAAGTCTACTCGTATACCTCGTCTGTGCTTTCACCTTATGGACTGTCGTGGCTCAATCTGACTGCCATACCCACCTGAAAATACGAAGGTGATTTTAGCGTCCTCTTCTCGTAGATGGCGGTCAGTTCAGAAACTATTCACTGAATTAGTATTTATGGACAGAGAGCTGTAATGTGTGCGTAAATACATGAGAGTTGACTATGGAAGGGATTGAAAAACGCAATTTTCAAATGACCATAACTCCTGCAATAATGAATGTATTTCATTGAACTTTATTTCTGAAGTAGAGTTCATGGTTACCTACAAAAAAGTATGAGACAACTTTTCTGTACGGTGTCAAACAAAATTACGAAAAATCAAAAACGAATTTTTAAGAAAAATCGACCAGGAGGTAGGTGCTTAAATTTTTCGGTGAAATTGAAAAGCTTTAAATCACTCTGGAAAAATTATTTTCAATTGCAGGGGTCAATTACAAATATTTTTGGCGGCTGCGAAATCCTACGCACTTTCGAGAAAAAAATTCTTTACCGAAAATATAATTTCAGGCCAGAAATGTTTCTGTAATTTCATTTCCTCTTGTGTTCATTTGTGTAACCTGTTGGTAATGTTGCAAGTGACACGAAAATGGTAATAGGTCTCTCGAACCCCATAAAAATGGGGCCAACAAATATATTGGATGTAAGGTCTACTCGTATACTTTGTCTGCGATGATACGTTCAATAAAATGTTTGTTAGTTCTAAACATCATATTCAATGTCTTTCAAATGTGGTGTATCAGAATAATAACGTTGTTACAGTCTTAAACCCTGTTTTATAATACCGTGCATACTCAACAAAATGTTTTAAATTAAGTACTCCTTTACAGATGCACGACGAAATATTTACAATAAAACAGTTTTATTGTTACGAAAATGCGTCGAGAAATTTGCAAGAAACTCAATACGTCCTTAACACTAGATTTACGGGCATTGATCGCATATATATTTATTTATACCTTTCATGTTGACGATTTCCTTAAAATACGATTTTTTTTTTAATTAGAATATGTATTCTTGCCATTGCATCGATCAAATTCAACATAAGTTGTTAAAAGATAATATTTACGCGTTCTTCAATTTTAAATATGGAATCACACATCCGTCAAATTGACGACTTCCGTAAATCTAGTGTTAAGAAAATACGATAAAATAATAAAAAAAACATTTCCGGTACCGGGAATCGAACCCGAGCCTCCTGGGTGAGAGCCAGGTATCCTAGCCACTAGACCATACCGGATTTTCGACGATGCAATTGCATTATACCGAGTACATATAAGTATAATATCGTATCAAAGTTCTAAAATATAATATTAATAATTTTACATTATATTAAGTGATATAATATTCACAATATACACATTAATATAACAGAAACTAATATAAAATAAGCATTGTAATATCGAATTATATCGTATGAATCGATCATTAAAGCTTAATAAAATGGCGAATGAAAAATAATCTATAATATTAATATATTGTTATAATCTTTAAAAATTGATAACGTAATACATACATGATTTACAACAACAAAAAAATACTCAGTATTGGGAATCGAACGTGGGACGCTAATTCTATCAACGGACAACGGTTTATAGTAGACTTTGATCGAGAAATTAACTTTTATAAAAAACATTTACAAAAAATTATATTTTTAACAAGTAACAAAAAATATTTGTCAGAAGTGGGATTCGAACCCACGCCCTCAGAGAGGACCAGAAAGCCCAGAAAACTTAGTATGAAAACTAAGAAGGTAAAACCTTGAGTCTGGCGCCTTAGACCGCTCGGCCATCCTGACATTTGATGACAACTCCTCATAATATACATGACATGTTCCATAATAAGTTAGCCATATAATAAATTTCACTACATATAATTCAGTTTTCCATCAAAACTATTATAACATGTAATAAGTAGTAAATAAATTATATATGTATATATGAATTGAAAATTTCATAGATTAAAATATACTTTTATTAAATACAGGTATATTCAAAAGATAAATTTAAAAGAACAGTTTGCATATTCATTAAACGATATTGGAATAAAATAAATATATTGTGTTAATATGATTGACAAGTTCAATGAAAAAAAAAATGTTTCCGCCCGGGATCGAACCGGGGACCTTGTGCGTGTGAAGCACACGTGATAACCACTACACTACGGAAACTATATTACAAATTTTTATAAATTTTATATATAAGGATTAAAAATATTATACATCGTGTTTTTTTTATAGAATTGGTCTTTGTTACATACAAAAAAAAAACGTATACTATGAAATATTTTACTACTTTGGATTCTAAACATAATGGAATATTGTATTCGATTTTGCTTGACCGATCTTTCGGAATTTTACGGATAATCAACTCTCGCCATGCTATAAATTCAAAGATTCTTTCTCACAACTAACTAACAAATATGAAAAGGTAGTAATGCAATATAGTGGATTATCAGAAAAATTAAAGGCTCTTCTCACTTAAAACATTATGTCATAATCTGAAACATATTAGTTTGTTACATTATATTATGTGATATAATATTTAGAATATACACATTAATATAGCAGAAACTAATATGAAATAAGCATTATAATATTGAATTATATCGTATGAATAAAGCATTAAAGCTTCATAAAAATACTCTACAATATTAACATATTTTTATAATCTTTAAAAATAGATAATGTAATACATACATGATTTACAAAAAAAAAAAGTACTCTCTATTGGGAATCGAACTTGGGACGCTAATTCTATCAATGTATAACGGTTTATAGTAGACTTTGAGCGATAAATTAACTTTTATAAAAAACATTTACACAAAATTATTTTTTTAACAAATAACAAAAATTATTTGTCAGAAGTGGGATTCGAACCCACGCCCTCAGAGAGGACCAGAAAGCCCAGAAAACTTAGTATGAAAACTAAGAAGGTAAACCTTGAGTCTGGCGCCTTAGACCGCTCGGCCATCCTGACATTCGATGACAAATTCTCATAATATACATGACAAATTTCACAATAATTTAGTGATATAATAAATTTCACTATAAACAATTTAATGTTTTTCATAAAATCTATTATAACACGTAATAGATAGTAAATAAATTATGTGTGTATATATGAATTGAAAATTTCCTAGATTAAAATATACTGTTACTAAATATAGGTATATTCAAAAGATAATTTAAAAGAAAGTTTGAATATTCATTAAAAGATATTTAAATAAAATAAATATTTTGTGTTAATATGGTTTACAAGTGTTATGAAAAATAAAAATGTTTCTGCCCGGGATAACTACTACACTACTGCTTGACCGATCTTTCGGAATTTTACGAATAATTAACTCTCTATGAAAAGATAATTCTAACAACTCTGTACAACTAACTATGAAAAGATACTAATGCAATATAGTGGATTATCAGAAAAATTAAAAGCTTTTCTTATGTAAAACATTAAGTCATAATCTAAAACATATTAGTTTACATTTAGATGAACTTTTACAATGGAAATAAGTAAATTATATTTCTAAAATCCCAAATAAATTAAAACACATGGAGAAATCTGTGCTATACGTAAAAAAATGGTAAGGATAATAGAGGTTAATGAGTATTATAACCTATATTTTATTTAAAAAATTGAGTATTTATTTGTCATTATCACGTATTAAGAATATTATTCCTATCGGCCCTTTTGATTACTTTTGCATATATGTATTGAAATAAAAGATGATGCCAGGAATGTGCCAAAAATATGTTACCTATTAACATATATTACATTTTATAAAATTGCATAAATTATTCTATCAATTACGACATGAGATACATATATACATATAACGAGGGCCTAATATGTTAAAGACTAATACAATATTACGACATATTATTGGCTCATATAAATTGTTTAAAGTTGTTCATGTTTTTACACTAGGAATTATGAGATGTAACTACCAACATTAAAGTAGTGTATTACAACATTGTAGAGAGTGACGTAATGTTAGTTAAAGAGAAAAACGGGACATATATTTTGAAAAAATTCACTTCTTTCTTTTATCACGGTCAGTAGTTTTTTGTATTATCAGTTTATTCCGTTCCTTAGTCACTTTAGTTGTCGGACTTAGAGGACCTTGTATCATCGATGGTGTTGTTCTTTGTATGCCGCCCGAAGTAATTGTGCATGGAGGTTTTAAGCTTTTTGTGTAAGCTTTAACTTCTGCTAATTGCTTTCTCAGTATTTCATTTTCACATTTGTATTTGACAAGTTCAGAATCTGTATCCACTGTTTCATGTCCAGAGCTACTTGTTTCCTCTGCAAAGTGTCTATACATGGCTTGTAATTTCTGTTCATATTCTCTTATCACAAAAATAACTTTTTTCTCAGTTTCCAGCTTGGATTGTTTCAATGCATTAGTTAAAGCTTGTATTTGCCATTCTTGTGTTTCTATAACACTCTCTAATTCTGCAGTTTGAATTTCTAGGGTTTTTGAACTTTCCTTTAAATCTATTACTTTTAGAAAATATTTATAGAATAATGTTTTCATTTCACCTTCCGATAATTTTGCTAACCTCTCCATTAACATTCTCTCTCCTTTCTCGCGTTGTGATTGATTTTCATCAAAACCTTTTCTCCCACAAATCATTTCATTTTTATGTTCTATCATGGCATCTATAGCTTCAATAGTTTCTCCACATTCTAATAATTTTCGTTCTTCTACCGTAGACAAAGTTTTTTCCTTCTGAAATTTCTCATCTAAATCACATTTTTCATCTATCAAACAATCTCTGATACGTCTTAAATTTTGAATTTCATGCCTTAAAGCTTCTTTTTCATCAATATCTGCTGTTCTTTCCAAATCTATGGATTTTTCTTTTAAAACATGGTCAAGATGTAATATTCTTGCACTAACATCTAATAAATTTTTTTCTTTGTCAGGGTGATCAGTTTTTGATTTATTATTACCTTTTCCACTTTTGTTTTCTGATTGCAATTCTTTTAATTTAGAAGCAGTTAAATTATATTTTCTTTTAAGTTCACGGATCTTCTTCTGATCTTCTGCAAGTTCTTCTTCTAACTGTTCTTTACGTTTCTCCTCTTTTTTCAACTGTTCTTTTAAATTCTTCATCTGCTTGTTAGTGTCGATTAAAGAGTGAGTAATTCTGCGTTGCTTTTGCAAAGAATCATGAGCAATACCCTCTATCATCTCAATATTTTTTAACCTTTGCTGATAATGAACTACCTTGTCCGTGTACACATCTTCCTTTTCCTCATGAACAGTCTCAGGTTTTGGAAGTAAGTTTCTTGGAGATAATTGAGTTTTTACACAAGTACATTTTTTCACTAATTCACTTTGCTTGCGACGAGACTTATTTATCACTACTCCAAGTAAATTAATATTCTTTGGTATGTCTGTAGATATACGCATTTTAATTTTCATAGTTGTTTCAAGCTCTTTTATATTTTTACGAGCTCCATCTAAATCCAACTGAATTTTCTTTACTTCTGATTGTTTTGCTTCATTGTTCAATATCAAAGTTTTTAATTCCTTTATGGGTTCTGGTACTTTCTCTGTATCCAGAACATCAATTAATAAATCTGGTGAATTATCATTATGAGTAGTGAGAGTTTTAGTAATAATTGTTTCAGGTTCACAATTATCTAGAGTATTTGTAGTGACAAAATTTGAGGTTTCGTTACTCAAAATTTGATTACGGTTAGGTTTAAGACTATCATTAAATGCTAATATTTCATTACACATTTCAGACCCAGGAAGCATTGAATTTCTTCTAGAGTTTGGATTTCTAAGTGGAACAGGTTTAGCTAGGACATCGCTATTATTAATATTTGTTGATTGAACTGTTGACATAATGCAATTGATATTTGTTTTCCTAAAATGCTCTTCTTTATCTTCTTGAAATTGAATTAATTTATCTGTTTCTATTTTAAATATATTCATATGATCATTTAATTTTTCTAAAAATTCTAAAGTTTCTTCATTCTTTGAACTTGTGTCACTGTCATCATCCTCCTCATCTTCCTCTTCTTCTTCATCAAATTCTTCATTTTCTTCATCTTCTTCATTTACTTCTTCTTCTTCTTCCATTTGCTCATCCTCTATGTCAATAATCTCAGATAATTCGCTTTCTGAACTTGATGAGTTAATTAAACCTACTTTGTTTTTCATTTTGTGAGCAAATTTATGCCTTAGCATTTTATTAATTTAAACTGCCTTCTTTATTTTCTAATAAGCAGATCTCACAATGCATTTCTATCAAGTTAGAACTTGAATTTTGTTTCCCATGTCCTAAATATATTAGTTCCTATAATTTCTACAAAAATATATTTTGCAGTATTTATATATACGTATACGTATACGTATAATGTTAAAAATATATTAAATATATATTTTTATACCAGGTTACAACACTCCAGAAAGTAAAATTCAAAAACAGAATAACCACACTTTTTGGTGGAAGAGCCCAAGCTCTGTTCTAATTTACTTGTAACTAGTATACCCAGATGTGATACAATTTTTACGCATGCGCGTCCGGAAATAGCTATGTGCATAATCAGTATTATGGTTATTAAAATTTTTGGCCTCAATTTCGAGTAAACTAAACAAAGTTTCGTATTCGTCAAATAATGGGGTAGATATATTCATAAAAAATTATTGTCAACTTATGGTATGCATATGTATTGCACGTAACAAGTATAGAAGGGTATGAAAGTTGTTCTTAACTCCTATTGGCGTACAGTTTAAAATGTTAACGCGCCATTAATAGTAACAATGTAACAGTCTAACAATACTAATATCGATGTGTTCCTTATTATGTACAGATTCAAATAGTATATGTAACATGCTCTGATTTTTGAATGATCAATTCATGGTAAGGTGTTACGAATTAGTATAATCTTTACTACGTAGATATTGGTATATAGAATGAATGTATTACCTTACTCATGAAAATAATTGTATCTTCATTTTTCTTGCTATACACATTTACACATATTTGGAAATCACATGGCATCACTGAGCTCAATAAATTTATATTGCTAACATTGTACACGACGTTCACTGGATGATTTAAATCCGTACCGCGCGAGGAGAAAGTCACTACCAATTAGCACAAATCAAGAAGTGCAAGCATAGATGCAATGCATAGAAGTTGCCATTAGTTAAAATATTGTTGGCAGGTGGCGTTAGTAAACACTACGAGAAAAATTTACTGTGTACAGATATTAGAGGTAGTTTTGAAAATAAAATGTGGAAGGAAGTAAGAGAATTACTTCCTCTACAATTTTGTGTCAAAGGATTTCACTATTTTCATCATTACTATGAACTTCGGAAGAAACCCTAGTTTCATAATCAGAATCTACCTAGAGACTTAATTATAAGAATTTGTAGACAAGTCGTTCAGAGTTCAGAATCGAACAGAGTTGATATCTGCTGTTTTTTCAAAGTAATTAGTGTAAAATAATACACATTGAAATGATATTTCAAACAAAGTTATTTCGAAAATATAGATGTCTCATTTGTTCTGTAAACTTGGCGCCATTTTGTTCAGTTTGCTTCTGGAATACTATGGTGTTGGTAGCAGTGTAAGAGTCGTTAATAGTTTTATCCGTGATAACACGAACGTTATTGGTGTCTTGTGTTTTTCTTTGTTTCTACTTTAAATACGTGTTATCGAAATCATAACATGATGTTATAAAGTAATCGACTATCGTACGATGAGTTATGTGTAACAATATTCTCACGACGAATATTACTCGTTAGCATCTCGTGGTTTTCAATTATAACCTCTATTTTCCTGGAGAAGTCTACTTCATCCCGAATTCACAGTATCACAAGTGAGGTAAGTGTTTTGATGGATTGTGTTTCTGTAATTTTATTTTCAAAAATATGTGTTCGTTATTTCTAATAAGTATAATAATATGATTGGAGTACATTTAAAATTTTTATTAAAGTAGCCTAGTCACAATTCTGGAAACGAGTTACATTGACGCGCAAATTTTTACGTCATATCATATTTTTTACGACGTACTTAAAAAACAATTAAATAGGTTTTTCTCCGTGGTCTAGCTCTTAAAATGAGTGATTATATAAGTAGTTTACTGGGCAAACACTTCAATCGTAAAAGAAAACAAATATTTCTTGTAAAGATACGTTTGTAGGTCGATTAGCGTTCAATAGAGTTGCTCATCAATCTCAATATATTTTCCTATTTTGAAATAGTTTTTAATATTTGTTTAACATATTACAAATTTGTATGTAATATTCCTTATAAATATACGTAATGCTTATAAAAATCTTGCATAATAAACGAAATATTTTTCTCAGGAGACATACACGAATATCGTACAGTAAGAGTATTCTGTTTCCTTTTTTCATTAGTATGACGTTATGTTGATCTTTTTTCCTTGTTCCTGTTACACGTTATTTCTCCTCAGAAAACCTTCTGCGATCGTCAAAGTTGGTCTACGTGTTCCATATTTATTATATGTTGATGAGTCTTTCATTTAATGAAATTCGTTTAATAAAATTCGTTGTCATAATAAAATTTATGGTTAATCGCAAACAATTACGTTTTGTAATATCATTGTAACAATGATATTCAGATTTTAAAATAACGATTGCCAAATTAACGTTCGGGACAATTAATATTTTATTTTTTAATAAATCGAAGTCGAAATTTTAAAGTACTCTTCGCGGAATTTGAATTCGCGTCATGTGGTGATACGAGTTGTTATAGTCGGATTAAAATTTGTATACCGATCGCTCAAAGCCGCTTTCTCATGTGTGAGTCATGTTGGGAATTTATTAACTATGTACTTCGGAGCGATCAGTTTTGATTATGGTTGAAGGCTTGTACGAAAAATTTCGTCTCACCAGTTGTAATTCATTTTTCCTAATTTATTATTTACTTTTGAGTTAGTATCGTTCAATTGGAAACTTTGCACATAAAAACAATTCATTTGGCAGTCGACGTCATTGTTCTGACTGTATTATTATCGGTTCACTCGATTCGTTGTAACGAACATTACGTAAGACGTGATATTGTTAAAAGTTGAGACTTGGTGCAGTTCATGCACGTGTAGATTAAATCGACATTACTTATATCGTTGTGCTTATCGAGATCCATTGACACGTTCAAGCAATGCAATCCGTATTTGAAACAAGGTCACAATTTAACTCATTGAGTATCAATGTTCTATTCGCAGGGTATTCAGGAATACAATTTTTTTTAATATTACAGTTTATTTGAATATGATTGTTCAATAGAAAACAATGGTAAAGTTCTCGATTAAAATTACAGATTTACCTAATATTAAACAATTTTGTTGTATTTGGTTAATTTTTTTATTTTCACGTTAAAAAAAAGACACGGCAGTCGCTCTCATGTGATCAGGAATTGGGTCCGTAACAGTACGATGGAACAATGTACAGACGAATACATTCCATTCTCCAAACTTCCTAGCTGTTTGTTAACTAACGCACATCATTCGTCTCTGTTACTTAACATTCGTACAACTTTCTATTCGCACACGAACACTTTCGCGTCCATTTGCCCGTGGCGTTTTGTGTTCGAACGCGTGTGCATCCGCGAACATCGAGCCGACCTAATAATTGACGCTGTGGACTCAAGTTAGATATACTTACGATCGATTTGAATATCTTTTTGCAATACTTGCTAATTTCCTACTTGTTATATGAAACGTAATATATATATAGTGTTTATTAAAAGTTATGTATATATTTTCTTCAAATGTTTTGTTAGGAAACATGGAAAAAAATATAGGATTCGCGAGCGGGAGCTCGCAACCTACAATACCCCAGCCCACAGCTCCACCATCGTATGAAGAAGCTGTAGGAAATATAGCAAGCCCACCACCTCAACCAAATATTCCACCATATCCAGTAGGACCATCTGCAATGCCGTTTCCCTGTAAGTATGGTTTTTACATTGTTTTTAATTCTTAACTAGGCACGTTCTTATTTGTAAACAGTAACGCTCAAAAGTTTGGAGCACCATTCGTTTATTTTAATATTATATGTTTAGGCCTATTTAGAAGATCCTCTTAGGAGATATGATTAATATGATATACATATACATGATATTTGAGGTTTTCACGATTCGAGGCTTCGGGTGTGAGCCCCGTTCTTTCAGAAATTTCATAGTTTTGCGAGCATTGCAGCTAAATTCTTGGGTCAAACTATGCACTGATATTGATATATAAAAAATACAAAGCAATGTTTACTGATATCGATGTATCAGTGTGTCATTTGACCCTTGCGGAAATTAATTGCAATGTTCGAACAAGTTGCACAACTCTGGATTTCTTTAGATAAAAAGTGTGTTAGATATCATATTAATTTATCTCCTTTATTAAATGGATATCTGTACTGCTCAAGAACCAAAATAAAACCAAATCACTTTTTTTTATCTTTGCCATATAAGTAATGTATTTAATTTCATTTGACATAATTAATTATGATTTATTATATTATATATTATGACTTTTTAAGTATCAATACATTTTTCATGTAATCGTTCTTTGAAGATAAACAAGTGTACGAGTAAAAATTACAGATTAATACATTTTCTCGTAATTTCTTAAGAAAGTAACCATAAATATAATCTATTTTTGATCCGAGAAAAAAGAAATACTGTTTCTTTAAGGTATGCTCGAGCGAATCTGTTTACTTGAAATTTCAGTTTCTGTGCCCACGGCGACGTTTCCGCCGAATTATTCAGGGCCCGGCGAGCCACCGGCACAACAACAGACGCAGCATAATGCAAATCCAAACTTCCCGCGGACAACGGAAGTTCGGATCATACAGCAGCCTATGACTTACGCGCTGAGCCCGAACTCTATAAAAATGACGTGTCCGACGTGTCGCGCCAGCATTAAAACTTCCACGATATCGGACCATCAGCCGACCGCCCACATCTGCTGCATTATTCTCTGCTTACTTGGGTGAATATAATTTCATTCTTTTAACATTTGCTTAATCCTGTGCTTTCGATTTATTTCCATTTTAATCCGCATCCGCTTACCTTGATTATCACAGGAATGGGCCCTTTTCTGTTAACTCTTTCGCTCATGTTAAATGTTACATATTAAATTTCATACCTTTGAAAACAGTAGAAAACATTACTTCGCATTTTTTTATGTGTCAAATTTTTTAAAACTATCATCTACCTTCTTAGAGAGTATTTAAAATCAAACTACGGTTTGCCTTCGAAAGTACATTTGCAAACTCGAAAAAAATGAGGCGAAACCTGTAACAAGAAGATCTGTGTCAGAACGGAGGTTGGATTGCATGCACAGACTGTAAAAACATACCTCAAGTTTTTGCATAGAGTGTAAAATGCATTTATGCATATTCAAAGAAGAATAATTTTGTTCTATATCGTACGATGTAGCAATACATCGCACGCAGCAATCAGTGTAGCAATTAGTTTTTATTGCTTTTAATAAATTTCTATAATTCACTACATTAGCATTCATCATTTCTATGAAAATGTTAATGCGTTTCCGAAATTTTTATGCAGTAGTTTCAATCGTTTGCTCGCAATTTGTTAAATTTAGCACAACACGTGTCTGCCAAACGTGCAACAGTAGGAACTTGAATTCAATGTTAAACAGTTTGAAATAATTCGGTGTGCTTGTGTATAACAGTAAAATATTGATCATAAAAAGCGAAATATGAGCGAAGGAGTTAACGAAATTATGTGTCGAATTTCTGTTTTTATTTTTGTTGAAATTTTATGTTGCTTGTTCACTATATTAATCTACAGTGTATGTTTAAAAGTTTGAATTATTTTTTGATCTTTAAAATAAGTAAAACATTACTCTTGCTTATTAAGTAGACATTACTTAATCCTTTGTGAATAGAGTAGTTAAAATCCTTTTTATCCCAGAGAAATCTGTTATCTTTCTCCGCAAATTTCTTCAAAGAAATGAATGTTTATTGGTGTAAATTGTATCTTGATAAAGAAAAGGTTGACGTCATTTGTCTACGCAACAGTATCGAAGTCAAAACAAGTAGATTAGTTCGTTAAGTGAGACATATTTATAAAATGTGATAATGTCTACAACTGTCGTGTTTCTTAAAGAAATAGCAATTTGTAAAATTTCGTTGTTTTTCTCAAGAATATTTACAATATGCAATTTTATTTTATATATAAATAATGTCTTCTTAATATGCGAGAATAACATTTTCAATGAAACAAATGTGGGTACAAGAAGAAAAATCGATGCATGCGTTTGAATGACAATGCACATCAGGTTTGTGGTCTTACTTATTATTCATTAGTTCTTCGTCATTTTACTGTCACGTAGTAAGTTATAAATGTCCACGATCATAATACAATTTCGTTCTCCGTGTAATTTTTTATCGTCACATCGTAAATAAAGGACGTAAAACTGCTAATTCTTTGCGTGGAATTAAATAATGAATTATATTTTACGAAGGGTGTGGAAATAGTGTATCATTTATTTTCCTACAAAGGTATAATTATTTCAGAATAGAAATTAGTAGACACATACCTTGTGTAATGTAGTTTAGTGATATGTTCACCATTTTGGGTTGATGATTCATTAGATAACTGTGAAGCAGTTTAAATGTTTTTGACCCGTAATTATTTAATATAGAGCTTCACTGAGGTCAAACACCTAATTCCTCCCTAGGGTTGCATATTGGTTTATTCTTTATGCGTTTATTGATTTCTTCCAGTCCTTGTTCCGCTCTGACCCAATTTCTCTCAAAGCATGGCTGATCATAATACCTATGTCCGTTATAGTCGGATGAAACTCAATTGACCATTCAAGGCCACTTCCCCAACTGTAAGGCAGGTCAGAGACACATTTTGCGATCACTCCACGACGATGTGGCCCTCTGAAAGATAAACTTTGCATATTTGTAACACAATACACGGCGAAAATATCATTTATATGCATATTAATTTTGAATTAATTGAAGAAAACGTAACAAATAATTTTCATCTATAAAACTCTGACCCAAGTGCTTTCTCTTTTCCAAAGAGAGCGATTTCTATTAAATTTGAAAATTTGGCATAGTAAGAATACCTGTTCAGTGGCCTTGAGCGACCAGTTGATTCTGATCCAACTATAACAAATAGTTCAAGCAACTTTGACAAGATTCTGTGTTGTTTCCCTGGCTTCCAAGAATGTCGCTCTGTGTTTGTGCGTGGTACGTTATTAGTTTCAACGAAGAGATTTTACTGACCAATGGCGTTTTAATTTCAGGTGTTGCCTTTGCTCGTGTCTACCGTATTGCATGAGCAGCTTCATGAGCGTCAACCACTTTTGCCCGAATTGTAAATGTTACATCGGTACGTGGAAGGGTTGAATCAATTCCGGCACTCAGGTTGTTTGTATATTGTTTATGGTCTTTTATGTAATCAGGCACAGTGTTGTAACGTTATTGAGAGTATCCGATATTTCCTTGCTTGTCGCGTATTAAGTTAACACTGATGGTCGTGCGTTTTTGGAGGACAAAGGTCTACGCCCGGCGCCGTCCATTTTCGTTGGCCAAGATTTCCAAACTGCTCGTTGGTTATTTAGATATCATTGCTGGATAATAAATTTTCCGGAATGTCTTGCCACGTTATCGTCACCATTATCCGTATCCGTTTGTCGTTATTTTGTTTTTCAGTCGGTATCGCCACTCGTATTTGAAACCGAATCAGCGTATATGTGTAATCCTCGGTATTGTTAGATAGTTTTGCTAGAATGCGCTTTGGAATTTTGTATTTACATGAAATTGAGAACTGTACCTGCACAAAATTTGGCACGGAACTCGCAAGAGTCAAAACACTTTCGAAGACTGACAAACTCGGGGCAGTCTAACTAGAAAGATAAATCAACGCAATAAATAGAACGAATTTACAATTTAACCCTTAGTCGATCACGCAATTTATTTATTAAGAGCGCCTTTGGGGGCATTAATAAAAGAAGAGTCTTTTTGGTAAATACTCACATCAATATGTTTACTGGCCAGATGATTAATCAATATTACTTACTAGACAATATAATATTAAAAAACAGTTTGGGATAAAAATTTTTTAACGTGTTTCTAGAAATTAGTAATTGAAAACATTATTTACTTAGTTTATTAAAGGCCTAAAAATTATTTCATTTTTATCCGGGTCTTCGTATTTTATTTCGTAGAAAATTGCTACTTCTACGTAGGGTGACTTCTTTATCAAATTTAGTATATAAATGTTCTCTTAAAGCGTTGATTATTACATAAAACAATTAATATAGACAATAATATAAAAATATTGAAAAGATGAAAAGAGTACTGAGATTGAAATTTACGAGTTATATAAAGTGTTATTTATTACACGCAACCAGCTCGAGAACATCATTTTTTAATGTTCTTTACAAACATTTCGCACAAATTATAGATTGACATCAATGATAAGTTGCTCATTTGATTATTTTTTCTTTTGGTTCTGATGAACCAGGAATACTGTTGACTTATTATACTTTTCAATACTTTAATTAACAAATAGATTTAATTATTCTTATCCACTGTGGTTTAAAATGTAGTTAAAGCATCTCACAAAGTACACAGCATAATGCTTCAAGATTAATTATCTTTACTCTAGTGGGTTACGTGTTTGGTAGTTTACATTATCTTAGTTTGGACCCTAGGAATAGAGGAATACCAAAAATGGCAAATATTAATTCCAATTAAATCAGTGAATTACTAGCCAAGCAATGAGGATGCGGTCTGTAATGGTCGTCTAAGGGTTAATGTGTGAACCGTGTTGCGATATTTGATGAATATAATTGTCATTCAACGTCGGGCTCGCGTCTTCCGGAAACAAACTAATATTCCGGATGGAGTACAAGAGGGTTTTGTGAGGGATTGAGTTGCCTTTAGATATTTATTTACACGGAACTAATGCTAGAGATATATACACGATGCTGTGTGATCGACGAGAAAGTGACGAAATTCTAGCGCGGTGATGTGAGATTTGAGCATTGATGCTGGTGGCGGACTAGAATCAAGTGGACGTTTCTTCGTTGTTTGGTATTAAAGAAGACGTTAGGTTTTTCCTGATTGCCTGGTCATTGGTGGAAATTCGTAATTTTCTTTAACACTAAACCTACCGCGACCGGTCAAATGGCCAGTTTCAAAATTTTGTTTAGAATTTCTTATAGTATGCGTACAATGAATTGTACAATATTCACTTCTATTCTTATTGTTTGTTTTCTAAGAAAAATATGTAGTCTGTCTTGCCTATCACGACCGGCCATCTGACCGGTTGATTTATATTTGAACTGGACAAAATTTGGTACCAAATTCTGGTTAACTTCCGATGTAAATAGAAAATATATGTATAGCAAAGACGAAAGGAGAGAATCTTCAGTTTCCACTGTCTTAGAACAGTCTAATAACGCGTATTAAAAACAGTTAAATTTTAGACGCGTGCAGTTCCGAAACTATGAATGTTTTATTAATTATTGAGGCATTGTTAGAAGCGGCAAAGCCTCCCCTTTAAAATGGTTTTTGGTTTTTGTCGATCCTACTTTCCGTTTCGGAGATATCGTAATTTATGTAAATGGTAATTTTTTTAATTCAACTATCTCTGTATTCGTCTATCAGGGTTGGACCTCCTTGTTGCACGTGCGTGGTGCTGACCTACCCCGCGTACGTGACTGTCGTGACCTAGTTTCGGCGTAGTATTTCCAAGAATTTACTATGCACTGATCAATGAACTCGCGAGTGCAACAGTGAAACGTAAACAAACTCCGAATCCTTATACATATCTCCGAAACCAGCCACCGCATCGACTTGAAACTAAAATCGCTATATCTCCGGAATTAATAAAGCTATCGACTTGTTCGAACGCTCGTTTTAAAGGGCTTTTTATCCTCTATCTAATGATCATATCACCTACTATAATTTATGCTGTCTTCCAAGTTTATTTTGACATTTACTTTGACACTACATACGCAATGAAGTTTCAGCAATTCCTTTTGTTGCATTATAAATTGTTTATTTAATTGAAAATGAGTTTAAATACAGGATGTTTGCGTAATTACTAGCCAGCACCTTTACTTAAATAGTTGTTTTCTCTAGAACTAACTACGGTATCGACTTGGAACAAAATTCGTTTTAAAGGGTGTTTTATCTTCTATCCGATGAAAATTAAAAAATTTTGTAACATAAAAGAGAAGGATATCTTGCGAGTAAATTTTTGCCCTGCCACAAGTCTCTCCTTTCCGCGTCTTTGCTTAGCTGGTTTTTTCCTATCATAAATTTGAGCGCGAATTTAAGGGCTGGTCGATTCCGCGTTCTACAAATCAAAATAAATACGAGAGTGGATTATACTACTGGGCTTGCTCTAAATGATGATCCGAAGTCGTGGATTTGCACGGATATGAGATTGGCCGTCATGGTGTTAAAAGACATCTTTATGAAATGGTATGAGAAACACTGTTACAGTCGTACCTCGACTTACGTCCTTGCCATCGGGGGTTTCCCGATAAATCTAGTTGTTAATAACAACACGATCGGCGTTTGTTTTATTTTGTACATTCGTATCCGACGTGTTCAATTTCTGTCTGACTACAAGTTAAATATTGTCTGATTCTCAATATGTACAATATAAAATATTATTATTATTAGATATTGATACAGGAGCGGAAATAATGATGCTACTTCCAAATATCACAAGTGTGATTCAATTCATGGATCACGAATTATTTACTAAAGAAATAATTATAATAGAATAGATAATTGTAATAGATTACCCCTCAAAGTCATTTAATTTTTGCCTCGAAGATTTTTTGATATCATCAACAATTTTAATGATATTTAAATGGACAGAGTTTGTGAGATACTATATAAGTTTTCGTTTATGAATATACATACGCTATATATGAGTAGATCTATACACTTACCTTTGACATACGTCAAATCGTTGTTTTTACTTACGTCCGCTACTCAGGAACCAATTAGACGTAAATACGAGGTACGATTGTATATGACGTTTATTCCTTGCGTGATGATACTCATGATACAACATACAGTATTGCCTCGCTTCTTTCACCAATCTGCGTTAGGGATATTACACTGTTTATGTTCCTTCAACTCGAGCAATCGTCATGAAATTTGACTGTTCCGATACGAGTGTAAGAAAAGAGGCAATATTGTATAATGAGTGATGGTTACGACGTTTATTGATTCCATATTTGATTCGAATTAGATGATCGTGTGCGAGTGTGTCCGTGTGTCTGTTTGTCTCTCGGTGTGCGTGCGTACGTTTTGCAAATAGAATGAGATGGTATTATAAAGATACATTCAAGCGTTGAATTTAAGAAGAGCAGTGTTCTCACATGCATTTATCGTATTTCGTAGTCTTAGGAAGATTTTATCCTGAAAGAAAGGAAAGAGACCTGTTGCGACGAGGTTTATATCTGTCATCTCTCTTTGGAACAATTGATTTTCCTGAAATACGAAGGATACAGAAACGTGATCGTTTGCGTTTCTGGTTGATTCGCGCGAAATTTAGCTTTAGTAAGGGCTCTTAGACACTATGCTCAGTAGCTAGGGATTGGTGTTTGGGCCACAGTTACCGTTGTATGATTTCAACGTAGACACACGTTTTCCTTCTAGCGTTTAGTTTGCCATTCCATGTAAATGTCTTCCGTTGGAAGATGTACTATATTTTACTAGCGACTGTAAATGGAACTTCGTCGTGACAATCAGGTTTGGGTTATGGTGTGGTATGACGCGGATGTTGGAGATAAGCCCTCCATTTTGTGTAGCCTTAGGGTCTGTTTTAGATGGAATCGTACGACTAATTGCAGTAGAGTTGTGCGAGATTCGCGAGTTTACTGTTTTCACACGAGTGTGGGAGAGATTTTATGTTGACGATGCCGTCTAAAACAGGCCTAACACGTTGACTGCCATATTACTCGAATATGGGTGACACTTGACTTCCACGGGGAGCAACGTCATCCGAATATGGGTTATGCTCGTATCGTATCGTGACGTTAGTCCCTATTTTTTCCAGAGTGTGAGGTAGGGCTAATATAATTATAATAATAAAAATGATAAGTACGAATTATCGAGAACCTTTCGACACGTTGACTGTCACATCACCCATTGCTGGGTTACGGTTTTACTTACCCAATCAGAAGCGGAGTCACTAAATATTTATACAAGTACTGTATAAAAGTAATAAAGTATTACAGATGTAATAGACTCTAGACTTATCGAAACATAATCCGACATTAAGTCATTTTGCATTTGCGTGCTTTTGGGCTCGAAGACGTCGGTCGCGAGTAGTATGACCGAATGTAGTCGATCGTTTCAAGTAAATACGCGTGCTGCTTTTAGAAAACCGTGACCTGGTGGTTCTCTCGCGCAAATTTAATGTGACAGTCAACGCGTTGAATAATCGAATGATCGTTTCTGGGTTGTAGCGTCACGTGTGAGTGTATGCATTTATAATGCAGTCAACGAAAGAATCGACTTGATCTCGACAAAATGAACCTTGGGTATCGAGTTGATTAATATTTACAAGCGATAGTAATAATAGTAGCAGTATTAATGAGAATTTGGATGCTATGAATAACGACCATGGAATTGTTTGATGTTCGAATACAGTATCACATATATAGGGAACGAAAGGATGTATTCTTTCGTTGATTCTGCTATAATTGCGTGTGTAAAGAGTGGCGGACATTGTTGTCAGTGTCATTAGAAGAGATACTAGCGACGACGCATAGTGACCAGGTACTGTGTAGCTCTATCTGAACATTTCGACGCTGACAATGTATCATTGGCAGCTGAGAATAATGCCTCTGAGGGGTACATTCGGTTTAAATGATTTTGTCCATATTATCATAGATGCGGCTTGAACTAAGTGTACCCTTTAGTATCTACGGTATATTAACCCTAGAAAGATCTATTATGATTCAAAGTTAGGTTGACACGGGCACGGGTCAAGGGACACTGAACGCGTTAAAGAGCCCCAGAAGTCGTTTCCGTGTTTCTTCCGGTAAATTTCCGTTTAGGAAGGACGATAAAGAGAAGGATGAACCAAGAGAGCGTGTACAGAATGAAAGCTGCACCACTTCCTGTTTGCAACAGTGTTCGCGTATTTTTATTTTTGTAACACGGAAGAGCGATTAGTCGCTCGCAAAGATTGAATTGTTTGAGTCTACGTAACGTAGGAATTCTGTTTTCTTTCCACGAGACTTGGTGCACGAGGACGCGCACGTTTATTGGTGCTTCCGTGGACTTTCGGTGGAACGTACCCCTGCATATTGTAATGCCGTAAATTGTCTCGTAAAAGATGATATTTTTGTGCGAAATATATATGGACCTTGCATGTTTTTGTTTTCGTGTCTCGAACGATAACGATATTCCGTTTAATTTATTTATACTAATTAGAAAGTAAAGACTCGTAAAAAGTCAATTATGTAAAGAGGATCTGAACAAAGAAAAATGGTCTTGTGGATATGTTTTAAACCTTTATTAATATTAATATATTCGGCGAAACATTTTTAGTTGTAACGAATCATGTGTTGTTCAACCATTCACACGTCAAAGACATGCATTTGTGTACCTTACATATGTATATTATATATATACTTTCAGTCGAGGTTTATATTATAAGATTTTAGTATGGAATTTGTTTAAATCGGTTTTTACTAATTTTGTGTTGTCGTTGCGCGTATAACGTAGGCATTATACGTTCGTATGTGCATTACATGTATAATATTTTTCTTCTACGTGTTGGACATAATAAACTATACCTTCGTTTTAAAGTGCGTTCAGGTCTGTATAAATGGAGGCTGAATTTTACGAGATGATAGGTACATATGTATACAATGGTATATTTCATAGTTCATCGTATTACATCGTGATGGAAGTGTGACGAAATTGCAATATAGGTGATTACTTTTTATACAGGGGCACAAAATGTTATTGCTATTTCGATATTGACAAATTATCGAAGAGAAGTCGAAAAATCATGGATCAACAATAAAGTGCTTCGTAATTGTCGTTTATTTTATTTTTATAGACATACAAGATATCGAACAGATCCGAGTATATATTTCGTTCGTATTGAAAAAGTTTGGTTTATATTTTAATAGTTGAAAAATTCCGTACACTACATAACAATATTCTCGATTGCTCTTCGGGAAGATGTTTACTCGAGCAGAGGATGAGTTTCGCTACACACGGTTAGACTACGACGGGCCAATTAAATCCCGTTCGTGTCTGCTACGTTAATCGACGTTACAAAACATCTACAATTAATATTGCAACGTTCTCATTAACGGTACGATAACAGATTTAACGTTATTCAAGAGCACTTTGTTCGTCGTGTGCACATACTATAGTGATAAGTACAAATGAAATATATGTGTATTTTGTTTTTTTTTTTTTAAATTACGAGACGTTATCGAGCATTGTATACGTCGTGTGACAAAAAGACGAAGAAGCCGGAGGTGTTGATACACTTCAAGGGTCTGCATTTCTCTCTATAAAGAATAATATAAAGTTCAGAAACAAAAATAACGGCTAAGTAGAAGAAGACGACGAATCAGTACCTCGGTTTCCTCGTCCCTTACTTTCACTAACTGTTCTACACAAGAGTTTCTAACAAGTCACCATGAGGGAGAAATTGCTGTTGAGCGACAGAAGAGTACTCCATGTCGATGGGTTTGGTGTCGTCATAAAGTGCCGGAGCCTCGCCAAGAATGGTCAAAGTGCCGACAATGGACGCTATTGAGAAGATCCAGAGGAAAAGTCGGTCCAGGACCATCGCCACGAAACCCCAGTCTTGATCCTCCTGTAGTACAACGACGGTTAATTGGAAATCTCAAAATGGTTCAGTAAACTATTATCGTTCAAGACGACGATACTTACGGCATTGAATTCGTCTTGCCGCTGTATGTGGTGCTGAATGAACATCACGTTGTGCAAAGCTTTCTCGAGCTCGAAAGGATACTTCTTTTTCGGAGTGACGTCGCTCAAGGATTCATCTAAACCGGACAACACTGTGGGCAGTCCGTTGTAACCGCCTATGCCACCCAAGAATCTGTTATGCGCGGTCGTTGTATGCAAGCCGTTGCATCCTGGAAACAATTAATTCTTACATTTTTTGTCAAATCTTCTATTTGGAGGACAGCATCCACTTAACGTGCCAACATCCATCTAATCTGTGAATACTAATCGTGCATTGATATCGAAGTTTTCGGAAAGCGTACACTTACCAAGAGCACAAGGATAACGATCTGAAAAATAGCAATATTTTCTATCGTCCTCTACGCAAAGCCCACCACGAGATCTCGATCGATCTATCGCATGATGCTCGTAAGACGGCCGTAAATGAGAATTTGATCGTAAATACATACCGCCGATCCGCTGATGCCGAGCAGAGTCCGGCGAAGACACTATCGGGAAAGATTGCATAGCGGCTGTAACGGCTGCATTGAATTTGTTCTTTTTGCCGGATTTGCCTCTTCCGTGTATCTTGTGCGCGGCGAGATCGTTCAGAAGATCATCAGGTACCCTCATGAACAGCAGCTTTGGTAATTTTCTTATGAAGATCTTTCTGACCCACGGCGCCATTTTATGGGTGCTCGGTTTCCGATAGTGTACGTTTAGTATGATAATCGTTACTACTACGGACACACCGACCAGTGCCATCGTAAATAGCAAGTACATGCCCAGTAATGGCAACGCCAGCGACGTAGATGGTATGATTTCGGATATTAGGAGGAAAAACATCGTCTGCGACAGCAGGATGTTAATGCAAAGAGCAATCTTCTCGCCGGAGTCGGCGGGCAGGTAAAAAGCCAGCACCGATAAGTACGAGATGCTCACGCACGGTACAATCAGGTTCACCGTGTAGAACAATGTTTTGCGGCGTAACGTGATGTTGAAGAAAATGTCGGGATAGGGCTCCACGCAACAGGGGTAGAATTTCTTGTGTTGTTCCGCCGGTACACCCAGTATGTCCCACTCTACGCTGGGGTAGTACTCGCGGAGATCGATGCCAACCTCCACTTTGTCTCCCATGTTTTGATTAATATGCTTCAAGTCGATCTGAGTACAATAATTAAAAATTTTCAGTTGAGACCAGAGAACAAGTTCGGTAAATTTTATCCGCGAATGTCGAATCAAAATATCAGATTCATTTGTAAACTAGCGTTTGATTGCGTAAACTATTTTTGAGGAGGGTCAAATAATAAATTTGTGGGAGTGGATTGGATTTCATCCCTTCAACTTTCAATCTTGATTTTTGCAATAATCGAGGTTAGAAACATAGTATAAACAGTAGTTTTGATAGGATAATGGATCTACGAACTGGAAATGTTTGGAAAGATATATTGTTTCTACCTGAAAACCGTCGTAGGTCCACGAGCCGAATTTCATGAAGCAGGTTTGTTGATCGAAGGGGAAGTATCTAACGTCTATTTCGCAGGACGACTTGAAAATCGCTGGAGGTGTCCAAAGAACTTTTCCGGTGTAATGCAGAATTGCTTTTGTCATTGTAGTCACTCCGTATTCTCCGTCGGCACTGAAAATGGAATAACATTGTCAGTAGTTCGACAATTTTAATTCCACAATTATCAATAACTCTGAAATAGTATAGATTTTTTGATTATCAGAAGAGTATTTAACGTTACATTCGATTCGACGATGTCTCGATCTAACTTGAAGGCTCTTTTCAGGATATATATATGAAGAATATTCCTTATAAAATATTTTAAATAAATCTTGAAGTTAAATACACTTTTTCTTTATTTTCTCTAACAAAACCTTAAACGCAATTTTGTTATTCTTGATGTTTGTTTTATTTTGGTATGTAGAGTCACCTCCTAAAATATTGATGCATTTGTGAGTAAACACTTTGTACACAGTTGTATACATAATTGCAAAAGGTATATTTTTGCAATATATCTTAAAGTATTTTTAAAATACGATACGAATTTATCCTGAGGAGTGCCTTCCACTTAGGCTGTCACGTCGACACGAATAAAACGTTAAATGTTACTCTGAAAACCAGATGGAAGTCCGTACTATTCTCGAGTTATTAATAGATATCAATTTCTGAGCATGGAAGAAGACGAGTTCAGATTTTAATTGCACGATACTTTCCATTCACCGTCGCAAACATTTCGGGGACAACGATCGATGAAACGCAAAGTGTGAAATCGCTGTTCGCGTCGGGGTCACTTACTTGTTGTAAAGGACAATGTCGGGAAGCCATATGTGCTCGCTAGGCACATACAGTTCAGTGACACCTCCGTATTCAGCTGGGTCCCACTGAAACTTATGATCCTGCCATTCCTGTGCAAAGTTCGTAATCGTTAAGTCATCGTACTCGAGAGAAGATACCTAATCTACTCAAGACTTACGTGTTCCAGCCAAACGTTCGTCGTGAGGATTTGATCCTTCAAATTCTGAAAACGTTCACGTTGCTTCGTTACTGTCGCATCCCAATAAACAATTTATTTTTTGATTACGTAGAGCGTTTAAAAGAAAAAAAAACATACTAGATCTATGAGTTGAGAAAGACGAAGTCCTAGTTTAACAATGACGGTGTCCGTGTTGTTGGAAACGGGACGAATCAGTCGATTGTAATTCGACAACAGGTCGTCGTACAGTCTTTTTGCGTCGGGATTACCGTGGCATATCCCCGCCGAGAGGATCAACACGATCACTTGCAGTATCATTTCTGGGCGAACTTAGTCTAGTTATTCACGAGTCCGTTCGGCGCATCCTGTTCTTTGCAAAAAAGTGAACGATTACGATTGATCGCGATACTTTGAGCGTAGCTCGTTGGAGTATAAACTAGATTCTGTGTATGCGCCGCAACGCTTTAACTAAACACCGCAAGCTGCTGCTAGTCGCGGAATTACGAACCTGTTGCGTTAACTGCCGCCAGTCTATATTAATATTTGATCGAAACGAGTGGTTATTAAATTTAGTTTCTCCCGCGTGTGCTCGGAGGGCTGAGTCCCCGGTCGAGGCTACGCGTACTCGAGATTCTCCGAGCGCGGTTCGGCTGTCTGTAAATTTTCTGCCCCGGCGTAATGCAACCGATTGCATCGTTTCCAACCCGCGATGAAATTTTAATGTATTCCCACTGAGCGTCCAATCGATTGCTTGCATTTTGGACGTCTTGTTTCGCGCGAATTGTGATTTTTAACGATGCTCCCCGGGTGATCGTAATTGTTTTCAATTTTCCACCCCCTCGCGAGACTAGAGATGTTGTTCGAAGCACGCACGGTTCGCTACGCACTAATGTTTACAACCGAGTGGAAGAATTATTACGTACTTGCGATTTGGTTCTCTTCGGGCTTGGTGCACGCGTCCTAATGGATCTGATCCTGTGTTCTCCCAGGGATAGCATAATCTATCGCGATCCGTTCGAGGCTCGGCGGCACGTCGACCGATCGTGAACGCGACGAGGAATCGATGCGTCGACTCGCATTACTCGCGCGTCTCGTCTCGCTCGCGAAACGCCGGGAGAGCGCAGAACAGAAATGACATTGTGTACGGCCAATGGACCACTGGATGATGTTACGTGCATCTCAGATTCTGCGGGATCAATACAGTATTGCGCATGCACCGAGCCAGCCGTGAGTGTATGCGCTTTGTGAACGGGCCTTTATGGCGCAGGCTCTGTTCGTAGTACACCGACGATGGAAGAAGACGATTCCTCGCGAACTCTCTACCTCTTCGATGGCTCCTACGCCCTTTCCAGCGGGTTGCCCTCAGTCCTGGACCGAGCTCAATTTTTTACACCCCGCGCGCCTTTCTCGACTGTTCTCACCCTGTTCAGCCGGCTCAATCGACAAATAAATCGGATAAGAAATTAATATCATCAATCGTTACCCCTCGTGCCAATAACCGTTAAGAAAATCGCGATGTTCTCGTTAAAATCTCATAGAACTGTCCGAGATCCTCATTCTTTAGACAGTTCTACACCGATTTGTACGTTGACGTTTTGAAATAAAGTTTACGAACATATTTTTAACTACGAGGACTACAAATATAAAGAAAGCTGATGTTAGATGAATTATAAATTAGAATATAAAAATAATTTGCATGAAAATTTTACAGAAGATATAATTCTTGGTTAAAATCGTTTATTTACTTCTAATGAGTAGTCGTTAGAAATTGATCGCTGGAAGTTTTGTTGTATGTTTTCTACTAGGATCCATTCTATATTGTAGGGGTAGAAGAGGATATTGTGATTGGTCTGTTTAGCTTTCGATTGTCAATATTGTGGAATATTTCTCTTTACAATCTCGGTGAACACAAAGCGTCATTGTTTTTACACGTTTACCTCACTGCATCACTTTTCAATAAAAATCAATTCAGAATTAATTTTTTATCTTAACGGTCTGAATTGGCTCCATAAATATTCACTATTTTAATTGATACGTGTCGCGATATTGAAATTATAATTGGTAATTGTTACGCTGAATATATACGTGAATGAATAATCCAATTAAGCATTAATTAACGATCAACAATGAACGTGCACTTTCACTAGTGAATGTAAACTGAAAACATCAAAATACACATTCGTTAGTCATGTTAGTCAAAGTAGACAGTCATCAATAATTGTATATTTTCAATGATGGTTCATTTTCATGGTAATATATAATTACCCAATGCAAGTGGAAGTATCGAATAATGTACGGATACGTTAGATAAGTCACACTTCAATCGTGTGCATATCTGATGAATTTTCAATGTCAGTTATTTCGAAAATCAGGACTCGAAAGAAAAATATCGTTGCTTGTAAACTAAATTAATTCAAATTTTTCAATACTAAAATCATTGGAAGGGTATATTAGATTGTAATAACTATTTTCTACGAAGTAATAATTCAGATTTAAAATATTATCAATTCTTAGGAAGGATTAAATGATTCGATTCGAAGGAAACAGGGTTTTAAATACAGAAGCGATCTGCAGCGGTATGAAAATGTTTTCGCGTAATTACATTTTAATTTAATCACCTCTATACGTAGGGGGTCGTTTTCACTGAAATTAAAATTGGCTGCTGAGTAAGCATTGATCGCATAAAACGTAATTCCCGACTAAGAATCCTCTTAGCGTAACACGTAGGATCTTGTTGAAACTTGAATATGTTTTCAAAATTGTTGATTTTAAAATTATTTCATAAATAATTCATTTATCCTTTTTATTGACGAATTTTCAGAATTACTGACACTTTAATATTGACCAAATGATAATTAACCGATATTAACGTTGAAGAAGGTTGAACAGAGTAATCTATTTGGTATCTTGGATCCTTATTCAGAAATTAGGTTTAAATTCAATTAACACTCACCATCCAATTTCAGCGTCACTTATCCAATTAGTTCCAAATGTTTATTTTTAGGGTAATTCCGTGCTGTAGGTCGTTAGACTCCGCGCGTGATGATAAACGGGATTATTTTTCCGGGTTTCGTCGTTGCGAAGCACTACTAAACGCGTTGGGGAACCACTTTCGTGCTCAGAGGATAGGGGTAACTGCCCTCTTCTCTTCATAGGGGTGTACGTGTATAGTTGAGGCGTATTATAAGTTGCCATCAAGTATTTCTTTTTTTTATTGTCAAATATTAACGAGATCTCCCGTCTACGAAAATTATAGTGTCGCCAAAATATTCGATGTTTCATCGCAGAGAACCATAAGCTTTTTAACCGGTATTTAGAAAATGGGGCAAGAGAATCGCGCTCGCTCGACGAGAATTAATTCTGCAGTATAAATAATTTTATGCCCGATAAAGTATTCATATACTAATTTGTAGTTTGATCAAACAGAAATATTGGTGGACACGATTGAAATACTATTTGTCTTGCATTTTTCGATACGTACGCTAACAGACTATAAAAGACACACACCTACTAAATGGAATGGATAGTGAGTAGATAAAACATACTGTGATTGCAGCGTCAGGTGATCAACAATTAACGAAAGGGAAATATTTTAACAAATTTTGCTAATGTATATACAAATTTATTGGACCACAATAATTTTACACCACATTTGGAGAAGGTTAGGCTAAAAATTCTACGAATGCATGGGTATCTACTAGAAGCGTATGATCAGACATTCTTCCTAATAAAATTTGAATTTTTTTTCTCATGTAACTCAAAGAAAATCTATATATTCTAAGTCCCCGAAGAAGAACCGTTCAAATACGTTCAAGTGTTGCGAATTATTATGCTCTAAATATTCGAATAAGCACTATACATTTTCAATTCTACTTCCATGCTACTTTCATCCCCCGAAGTGGGTTCTCCTTGGAAGGATACAGCTTTTATACGCACCGAGCGTTTGCACGCGTTCATGTTCGCATATTTACGGGAATTCGTTAACACAGCCAGCACCGTCCACGGACCAATACCATTTTTCTCGGCGACGGAAACGAGCCGTTACACGTCCGTACATTAGAGCACTTTATCCTTACATGCTAGCCGTTTTCTTGGGCTTATATCTCCCCGGCTGGGCTCATCCCGATGCGCTCGCGGAGCTCGATGATAAACGCGTCTGTTTTTCCGGGTTTCTTCGTCACGAAGCCCCTGGAGGAAGGCCGCAGTGCCACTTTCCAGCGCGAAAGAGTAGCTTCCCTCTGGAAGCCGCGCGTGCTTACGTGTGTGTGCACGACAGTGTACTCGCCCTCACGATCGTATCGTGCAAGCTCACAGAGGCACGCTGCACGTGCAGGGGCGTAGGAGGGAGGGGTGCATCTGGCTGTGTCGAGGAATATGTTCTGCACCAAGGTGCATTGAAATGCAGGTCTCCTCTCTGCGCCTCCCCGGCGCTCTTTCTGCCTCGTTCTCCACCCTTGCTTAGCTACTCGAAGTGTTAATGCCAAGATCCCGGGCCAGTAAACCATGGCGAAATTTACGAGGTTATATTTTTCGTTCAGCGGCATGGTATTCGCCCGGGCGCAAGTAAAAGAGAAGAAAACCGAGGACGATTTAAGGCCACCGACCGTACATTCTATGCGCACCTATAGCCGGGGCGACTTAAAAAAGATCCTCGAGGGAGTGGCCCGCGCCCGATGGGGATTTCACCCGTAGACTGTCAAAGGGTGGCAAAAGTTGGCGTTGTATCGTCGAAGAATAGGAATTTTAACATTTATTGATATAGTGTTTCCTAGCAGCTGGGAAAGTTTGTAGAGCTGTGCGCGTAGAACTGCTTTGATCTTCTGTCTTACTTGGAATTGCTACGATTTTGTGTCGAGGGAGGTCACCTTTGTTACAAACTTCTAAACCTTTTTGGATTTCTATCGCGTTTCCTCGATTTCAACGTTTAAATTTATCAAGTAAATTAAAAGTAACGCTCACAAAAATTTGTGGCTGGTCGCGTCAAGGGTGGTTATTAAAATTTTTTGGATTGTTCGAGATATTTGTCGTGGCGAAAAACTCGCGACAAGACTAATAAGTACTCCTTGAAAAACAGTTCACCGCGGTACTGTTTCCCCGTGAAATATACATCTGGTTAAAAGCTCGCTCTATTTGTGTACACGTGTCCGGAAAGGGGAGGGGGACCATAGCTGAAGGCGCTGCAAAATATTTTACGCTTTATGCCTCGTACTTTAGTACAACTGTTATAGGATAGAATAAGAATATTCTGCGATGATGGTTTTCAGGCGAGAACTGCCAATGGCGAAATATCTCAAATAGTTTGCGTTTTATCTTGATTTAAGTCGCGATCGCAACTATACCGTCATGTTTCTTTAACGACTCGTTCGAATTCTCTCTGTCGATTTTGTTAATTGCACGAGCGTCGTGAAAACGTATTCAAAGTTTGCAACGAGAACGATCGGTTTTGTTTCGAGACTGCGTTCAGGCCGGGGTATTACAGATAAAAACGGGTCAAAGGGAGCCGTCGCGTATATCTACGCCATCGCTTGAATTATTAATCGGAAAGTGCTTCTGGAATTTCGTTTCGAGCGGTGTTTCTTGAGCGTGGAAGCGCGTTTGAAATTTCTGCCGGAAGAGCAAAGCGTGTTGCCGGTGGAACGAAGACGAATTTTATAGGGGTGTGCACGGAAGAAGGAGGAAATAGAGGGGAGGAGGAATGGCGTGGGTGGAGGAAGAAGAGCAACGAGGAGGAGTAACAGGCGCATTGTGAATATATTCCCGGAAAGCAAGGGGTAGTCGAAGGGTGTAGGATCGGAGTATACCTCGAAAGTGGTTGGTTCTTGGGACGTAGCGGTAATTAATGTGGTCTCACGCATCGAACACCCCTTATGTTTCTTGCCCTCCGCCCTGCTTGTTCTCGCGTGCTCGAGCACGGGAACTCCCAGGGTCGCGAGATAAGCTGAAATCCCATTATAGTTCCTAGTTGGATCCTCCCGTCGTACTGTGAACAGTCGGCCGTCCCGTGGTTCCTCTTCTCTCTCTCCTCCTTCTTGCACCCTTTCGCTTTCTCCACCTTTCTGGTTTCGTCGTTGCGCTGAAACCCCGAGATAATGGTCAAGGCGTGTTTAAACGAGTGTTTGTGCGCGCTCTGTAAATT